GCTGCCCCCATGTCTTCTTGCAGGTCTTGCTGCGCCTCCAAGACGCTTGTTTAAGTCCCGTTGGCGCGGATGGTCCTGCGGGTCCTCCAGGCGCTGTCTGTGCGCTGGCATTTGTCCCGGGCATGGTTCCTGCTTTGGTTTCTCCGTCTTGTGACCCGCCTGTTTCTGTTGTTCACTGGACATTTGAACCTGATAATGTGGGGACTCTGGAAACAAGATGTTCCGCCTCCTCGGAGTTTGCTCTCTTGTAATGTTATTCTCGACTATTTGGTTGTTGCTGTCAGAGGTCGTCTCTGTGCTCAAGTATAAACCCGGGGGCTTTCCGGAGGGTTCACCTGAGCCTGTGTGATCACGGGCTCATTTTCCTGTTCATGCAATTGTTTTTAAAAGTCTTGTTTTTTGTTTGTTTGTTTTTCAAGTCTGGCTCACACAGGCGGCGGTGGAAAGCCAAGTGAGGGGAGAAAAGGCCTCAGAGCACGCGGCAGTCACTTCCACGCCGGGGAACCTGCGGGGGCAGCGAGATGGCTGCCTTCCCGGCTGCTTCTCGGCGGCCATCAGCCAGGCACAGCTCCCGAATCTGGAGGACAGAGGCTTCTTTTGTCACCCTCCCTCCACCCGCCGGGGCAGGCTGCCTGGGAACACGACCTGGGCGGGACGGGCAGTGCTCCAGAGTCAGGAGCCCAAATCTACCAAAGGAACTTCCGTTCACTGTCCAAGGCTCGCCCTGCGCTGTGCGCCTTCAGCGGGCTCCAGGGCTCCAAGGAGGGCCGCGCAGGCAGACGCTGCAGACGCTGCGGGCGCCCCTGCTGCCCAGGGGTGGGGGCTCGCCTCACGGGGCTCACTTCTCTGTCACCGCCCAGATTCCTTCTTCATTCGGGCCATTTTACAGTGTGTTGTCTGTTCAGCTGAGCTCCTCTCAGCTCTGCTCCACATGAGTCCAACGGGCCTCTCCTGCCTAACTGGATTTCTAGAATTCTCTAGAATTTCTATTTGCCTGCCTGCCTGCCTGCCTTCCCTTCTTTATTATTCTTTTTTAATTTTATTTAATTTTTACATCATTTTTCATTTTTGCACAATGTATGCATTTTCATCTTGGTCGTAGTCCCCGTACGACTCCCACCCCCCTTGTTTTGATCCAACTCCCTCCTCCACCCCGCGCCTCTGGCCTGTACCCCAGCTCTTGTATAAATAAAAAATAAATCTTAAAAAAAAGAGCACCAGCACGTCTATGTTTATAGCAGCACTACTTACAATAGCTAAGCTATGGAAACAACCCAAAAAATCCCCAAAATGGATGACAGGAGCAAGAAGATGCGGTCCATGTGCACGATGGAATGCTACTCAGCAATCAAAAGCTATTTGTTTATTTTTCAAGCCTTACCTGTCACTTTTACTGGTTCTGTTCCCTTTCCTGACATTTTTAAGGTTCTTCTTAAAAACATGCTAAGTAGTGTTACTCCAAAACCTGCGTCTGGTCATTTTCGTGTTTCTCATCCCTTGGGGTCAATTCTTCTTTTTTTTTTTTTTTTTTTTTTTTTTTATAGAGGCATGCTTTATTTATTTGTTTGCTGGTTTGTTTGTTTGTTTGTTTTGTTTATACATGCACTGGGTACAGTCAGAAGCGCGGGAGGGTGAGAGAATTCACCAGAGCCAGAGCGGGGAGCAGAGCAGGCAGAAGGACCGAAGGACACTGCTGAGGGGAGCAGCGGGCGGCAGGAGAGGTCTGCGCGCCATGTGGGACCCTCCTCCGGTGGGCGGGGAGCAGCCGGGGATCGAACCGGCGCCGCAGAGGCCGCGCGCAGTTTCGCAACCCAGCGCTCAACTGCTGCGCCACCGGGGAAGCCCGGGGTCAATTCTTCTTGCCATCGGGGCCCAGGTGCGTGTGGCCTCTGCCCCACCCAGCGTCCGGACAGAGGGCTCGGGGGCTTCCAGGGCCAGGCCTGCCCGGAGGCTGCTTTCTCCCAGAGCGCATCCGAGTTAACTTCTGCCACTTGTCTGGGCATGACCCGCCCAGAACCCCGTAGAAACAATTTAAGTTTTCACATTTCTCGGTCAGTCAGTTAGCCGCACCATTCTGAGCCGAGCAAGCTTCTCAGGGACGGGCGTTTTCTGCTTGTTCTTTGCCCCCAGGCGGCCCATCAGCCTACACCTGCCCTGCCTCCCCCCCCCCCCCCCCCCCCGCAGGTGGTGGCCCGTGGGTGGCCCATGCATACCAGGGGTGGAGCGGAGCTGCTGGGCTGGAAGCCTCGGGCAAGTTCATCTGGCCTGAGCAAAGCCCCACTCTGACCCTGCGCCCTGCACCGCGCAGCCCCGCCTCCCCGAGGTGGCACCACAGTCTTCCCCTCTGCCCTCCGACTCCCAGGCCACCAGGCCCCCTCTCAGCCCTACTCTGAGAAGGTGAGTGCAGGGGTGAGGTGAGGGCATCCTGAGTGCTAAGAGTTGGGGGTGAGGCCGTGAGGTGCGTCTGCTCTGGGAGGAGGTCCCTGAGACTGTGCAGGGGGACCCAAGGTGAGCACAAGTGGATGATCAGCCTCTCTGAGGGCCTGAGAGCTGGGGCCAAAGCCCCAGACCAGCACTGTGGCTCCAGGGGGCAGCAGCCAGGGAGAGAGAGGGGTTGTGGTTCTGTGTGTTGGGGTGGGGTGTCCCAGAGCTTCCAGGTATCACATCTCCCCGTCTGATCTCCAGCTTGATCTGGCTGAGCCACCGGGCGCAACGTCTGGCCCAGCCACAGTGTCCTGCCACCCCTGAGGTGGGAGTGCCTGGCCAGCTCCCTTCTGGACGCAGCCCTTGTGCTCCTAGCCCGTGCCCTCCAGCCTGCACCCCACACCCATCCACCCTGTGTCATCTGACTGCCCAGCTCTCTTCCATGCTGCAGGCACAGGGGGCCTCGAGAGACCTCAGATCCCGCCCTCCCCACGGGAGAGGACAGAGTGCACCCCAGCAGCCGGTGAGCGGTGCGGCTGGGGCGAGGGTCCCTGCGCCGTGGAGGTGCTGCACCCTGACCCACCCAGCACAGTCAGCAGCACCTGGTCAGGTCCCTCTGCAGGGCAGCCCTGGCTGCGTTGGCTGAAACGTGGAATGAGCCCAGAGTCCACTCCCGGGAGGGAGGGCAAGCAGCTGGGCCAGTCACGCTGGCCCCGTGCAAGCCCCCACAGGCGGGGACTCTGACCCGCGCAGCCTGAGCCTGGATGACAGGACACCCACGGCCCACTCATGGGCTCGCAGGGTCAATCCCATGGAGACAGGAAGCAGATGGTGGGCACCAGGGGCAGGGAGCTGCTGTCCAGCCACTAAGGTTCCAGCTGGCGGAGCTGAGGACGTCCTGGAGATGGGGGCGGTGCTGGCCGGTGGACACTCGAAGAGGCCTGACAGGGCGCATCTGACATCACGTCCCTTCATCACGCTATAAAACAGCCCCGTGAGCCGAGGGCCTTCTGGCTGTCTCAGGGGACTGGCCCACATGGGCAGCAGCGCACGAGGGGCTGAAGACAGATGCCGGGCAGCTGGCACCAGGGCCCGGGAGGCCAGGCCTGCAGCAGGGTTCCCTGGCTCCTGGGCCTTGGGCCCAGCAGGTGGGGGCCAGCTGCCCTGGGGAGCGTGGGTTTTCCGGCTTGAATGGGGAGCACTTTTGGACACTCCCCTTGAGAGTCCGCTCCTCTCAGGCCAGCGCTCAGGGGACAGCTGGCCATGGGCGATTGCAGGGGACAAGGCCAAGGACACGGTGTGGGCGAAGGGGTGGCCAGCAGAGCCCAGGGGCAGCAGAGGGGCGCCAGGGCCGATCGCTGGGCCTGGTGCACGAGTGTGCGTCGCCGGGGAGGGAGGGCGCGGGCAGGTAGGACCAGGGTCCGAGGAAGACGGGGAGAGACTGGCCCGTGAGACAAGGAGGTGCTGAGACAAGGAGGTGCTGGGGGTTGTTTTGTTTAAATGTGAAAAAAATCAGTCAAGGAGAAAGAGGGGGGGCAAGTGGGTGCCCTGGGGGATGGGGAGGGCTGGGTGGGGGGAGAGGAGCGCTGTGACCCGGCACCCAGGACTCAGGCAGCAGCGGGGGGCCTCCCCCCAAGCTCTCGGTAGGGGCGCACGGGCGCAGAGCGGCGGGCTGGCTGCGAAGGGGGGGAAGGCCCGGAGGGGAAGCAGATTCCGGGGTGCGGGGGCCGGGAGGTGGGGCGCGAGCCCGACGCAGGCGCCGGACCAGCGACCCTTCCCGGTCCAACGAGGCGGGCCGAGCCTGGGCGCGGCGCGGACGCGGCGGTGCGCGGGCCGGGCCGGGCCGGGGCGGGGCGGGGCGGGGGGGCCGCAGCCCGGGGCAGCCCGCGCAAGGGCCTGTGCGCGCGGTGGCCGCGGGCGCGCGTGCCCACCGTCCCGGAGCCGGCGACAGCCCCGCCCGGTCCCGCCTGCGGCCCCGAGCGCCGGCCCCGCGGGGCTGCGGCCAAAGCGGGGCGCGGAGACGCGCGCGTCCGGCCGGCTGCGGCCCCGCGTTCCCCGCGCCCCGGCCCCCCGCCCGGCCCGGCGCGGAGGCGGCCCTGCCCGCCCTGCCCTCGCCCCGGCCCGCGCCGGGCCCTGCCTGGGGGCCCCGGGCCCCCCAAACCCCGGGCCGCCGAGCCGCAGCCGCAGGCGCCGCCGCCTCCAGGCAGCCCTCCCGCCTGCCCGGCCCGCGGACGCGGACGAGGCCCCGGGGCGCGCGGGCCACGCGGGGCGCCCTCCCCTCGGCCCCTTTAAACGGGCCGCGCGCGCTCCGGTCTCCATGGCGACGCCGGCGCGCGGGCGGGCGGGCGGGGCGGGGCGCGCGCGGCGCATGCGCCGTGCCGAGCGCCTCCCCGCGCGGCTGTCGGGGTCGCAGCTCCGCGGTAGGGTGGGGTGCGGCTCGCCGGGCCCGCGCGCGGGGCGGGGCGGGGCGGGGCGGGTGCGGCGGCGGGGGGCGGGGGGCGCGGGGCCGGCGGGGGGCGGGCCGGGCTCGCGGCGCGGGGCGCGCTGACCCCGGCCGGGCCGCTCCTCCCCAGGCCATGGCGCCCCCGCACGCGCGCCGCCCCCCGCCGTCGCCGCCGCCGGGCCGCTGCTGCTGCTGCTGCTGCTGCTGCTGCTGAGCGCCCGGGCCCGCGCCGAGCCCCCCGCCGGGAGCGCCGTCCCCGCGCAGAGTGCGTGCGCCGCGGCCGGGCGCGGGGGCGGGGGCCGGGGGGCGCGGAGGGCGGGGGGGCCGGGGGCCCGGGGGGCGCGGGGGCCGGGGGGCGCGGAGGGTGGGGGGCCGGGGCGCGGGCGGCGGGGGCCGGCGGGCGCAGGAGGTGCGGGGGGGCCCGGGGGGCCGGGGGGCCGGGGGGGCGGGCGGGCCTCGCCTCGCCTGACCGCGCCCCCGCAGGCCGCCCGTGCGTGGACTGCCACGCGTTCGAGTTCATGCAGCGCGCCCTGCAGGACCTGCGCAGGACGGCCCACAGCCTGGACGCGCGGGTGAGCCCCGGCCGGCGCCCCCCCCCCCCCGTGCTGGCCCCGGGTACCCTCGGAGCGCGGGCAGGTCCCCGACCCCCCTCGCGCCCGGTTCCCAGCCGAAGTCCGCGCGCGCAGCGAGCCGGTGGCCCCAGGCTGTGTCCGCGGTGCCAGCCCCGCGCTCCGGGCGGTTCCTGAGTAGTCCCGGGGGGACCTGTGCCCCCCGCCGGGGTCTCCTGCTATGCCGGTGGGGCTCCCGGAGAAGCGGCCCGTCCCTGGGCGTGTGGGGGAGGGTGTCCGAGACCCCTGGAAAGAGAAGGCGGGGAAGGAAAAGTGGCTGGGCTGCGGGTGGGGTGGGCGGCCCCAGGACCCCGGGCGTGGCAGATGAGGCCCTGAGGAGCCCCCGCCTGGCTTTGCAGACCGAGACCCTCCTCCTGCAAGCTGAGCGCCGGGCCCTGTGTGCCTGCTGGCCCCCCGGCGGCTGAGGACCGCGCAGCCCTGCCCCCCAATAAACTCATGACCCGGCCAGCCTGTGTCCTGTCTTCCTGCTCCGGCGCCAGCGCCCACACGCAGCCCTCTCGCCTCCGTTTCCCCACCGGCCCTGCAGCGCCCGCCCCAGTGGTGTGGGCCTGGCCTGCTCCCTGGCCCGCGGGCCCTGTTTTGAGGTGGGGGGAGTGTCCACTGGCCTGGCTCACCCTGGCGCTGAGCCTCCCAGGCTCCTCAGTGCCCCATGGCCAGAGCTCCCTGGGCCCTGGAGCTTCAGGCAGCACCTCCTCTGGGCACGGAGGCCGGGACCCCTCGCCACCGCAGCCCGGGCGGCCCTGGGGCACGGGGACTCCCAGGTGGGCACCGCCGTGCTCCCTCCTGTCAGCAGAGCAGAGCTGTGAGCCCTCAGTGCCCAGCTCTGGCAGAGCAGGCCTTCCTGGGCCCCCAGGCTCCCCCCATCCCGTGGCCTCCCAAACCCTGCCTGTGCCCAGCCCTGTGGTCAGTGCTTTTCTGGCTAGAAGCGCCTGGCCACAGGCTTTGGGACCCCAGGCAACAAGCTGGAGTCCTTCCTGGGCCCTGGGGGATGGCTGGATGTGGGGGCCATGATGCCAACCCAGACAGGCCTGGGGGTGCGGGCCTCAACTGCCCTCATGTCCAGACATGAGGGGTGTACAGTGGGGGGCCCTCCGGCCCGGGACCCCCTGACAGGGCGCTGGGAGGGGGCAGGTGTGGGGCGCACAGGTACCTTCAAGGGCATGTCCCGGGGGGCCCTGTCGGCTGGGAGGGCGGATGTAGCCTGGGTTCTGGGCTTGGTTTGCCAGATTTAGGGAGACACAGATCAAGGGGTTCTTTTTCGTGTGAAAAGCGGCAGTCCTGTCAAGGACAGGTACGGTCCCTGGAATATTGGGACATCCACGCTGAAAATTATTCCTTGTTTATCCCAAATTAAAATTTCAGTGGAAATGCTTACTTTTCGGGCAGTCAGCCCGGGCACATATTGGGGTCTCTATACTGTAGAGGATGGGGACCTCGGGAATGCTTGCCTCAGAAAGCTAGGGAGGTAACTGCGGGGGGCGGGGGGCTGCTTTGCACAGCTGCTTCCCGAGTGCCCTCTGGGTGCCCCCAGCCGCGGGGGTGCGGGGGCAGCATGGCGGAGAACAGCCCGGGAGCCAAAGGGGAGAAGGGTCAGGGCGGGCCAGAGGGGTGAGACCCGGGGAATCCCTGTTGTGTTTGAGGTGGAGCCAGCAGGGATTTGGGGGGGGTCCGAGGAAGGGAGTGGCTGGGCAGGAAGGCACTGGCCGGGGTGTCTTGAGCAGAGAAGCCTAGGAGGCAACTGCACGGACAGGCCTGGGAGGGGCTGGAGGGAGCTGGTGGGAGCTGGTGGGAGGTGGTGGGAGGTGGTGCCCAGGCCCTGTAGCCTGAGTGTGGACAGAGGAAAGGTGGTGCTGATGGCATGAGGGCACCCTGCCAGGGGGCAGGTCAGCATGTCATGCTACTGAGGTCAAACAAGGACACTGGACTTGGCCACTCTGCTCATTGTTGACCTTGGCAAGAGCAGTCATTTGGGGGTGGGGGAGGCAGAATGGGGGGCTCGGAGGAGCGGAGAGAGCCAGCTGGACAACTGTGAGGAGTGTGGCCTGTGTGGTGGGTGCCAGAGGTGGCGCCCAGGGCTGGCTTGCCTGGGCAAGCCTGGGTGGGGCCCGCGTCATCTCTGGGATAGCTTTCGTTTTTCCTGGAGTTTGTGTTGGCCTTGTTGCCCCTGCCCCACTGCCTGCCGCGCTCCTGCGCTTGCGTTCTCTGCTCGGGGAGCACCCCCAGGTCTGGCCCTCCCTGCCCCTCAGCCTCCACCACCCTTCCGTCTGGAGACGCTGCCTCCCAGGCCCTGAGTCATCGGCTCCCTGTGTCTTCAAGGAGCCCCCGGGAAACAGGGCTGCAAGTGAACCAGCTCCTCCTGCCTCAGGGGCACCCGGACCCTCACCCCACCTGCCTGCTCTGCCCGTCTCTCTGCGGGGGGTTGTCTGTGGGACCCCTCCTCGGCAGGCCTGCAGTGCAAAGCCCCAGGGGCAGGCTTTGTTCTCTCCAGGCCCAAAGCCTGATGGCCGCCCGGGCCTGGCTGGAGGGGAAGATGGCGGCACAGCGCCTGGCCCGTGGCCGTGGCCGCAGGCGGCAGGACGACAGGGGCCCTGTCTGCGCCACTGGACAGGGTGGCGTGCCTGTGGCCTCTGGTCCTCGGGGCTTCTGCTGCTGCCCTTCTGGCACTGGCCTCCCTTCCCATCCCCCGGCCTCTTGGCTCTTCCTGGGGACTCCTGGCCTTGCCCCAGCGCGCCCCAGCATCCCAGCTCCCGCGCCCTTGGAGGAGGCCCGCGTCTGGGGGGCTGCAGGACCCTCCCGGGGGGCGCTGCTCCGAGGAGCGCCCTGCCAGGGCGGGGCCCCTCCCGCGGGCCTCGGGGCGCGCCGGGCCCTGGTCCTCCCTGGGGAACTCAGGGCGATGCCGGGTGGGGGAGCAGGGCCCCGGCTGCTCCCTGCCCTGCGCCCCACGGGCCTGCCCCTGCCTAGGCGGGCACCGGGCGGCGAGGAGGGGCAGGACGGAACCGAGCCAGGCCCGGGCCGCCCTGCTCCGGGGCGGGGCGTCGGGCCGCCGCAGCTTCCCGGCTTGGCACGGGTGCCGCCTCCTCCCGGCCGTCCAGCGAGGGCCCGGGGTGGCCGTCCCGCCGCCAGCCTTTCAGGGACGGGGCGGGGGGGGGGGTGCAGGGTGACGCGCGGCGAGGCCGGGCCGGAGCGGGCGCCCCCGTGGCCAGGCGGGCTGGGCTCTGCCTCAGGCCCCTCACCCCGGCCCCGGCCCCGCCCCGCCGGCCCCTCCCCCAGCAGCGGGTCCAAGCGCCCAGCCGGGCCGCGGGGTGGGGGTCGCCGCCCCACGGGCCCTGAGGGCCGCGGTGTCCCCAGGGGCGCCCGGGAAGGCGCGTTCTGGAAGGTCGCGGCCGGGCGGGGGCCCCCCGCGGTGGGCCGGTTGACTCCCGAGTCCGGGTCCTCCGCGCCCCACCGCCCCGAGGCCGCGCCGCAGCCCCGCTGCCGAGTCCCCGGGCCGGCGGCGCCCCCCGCGAGGGCGCCGCTCCCCGGCCCCGGCCCGGCCCGGCCGCGCGCGGCCCACGTGCGCCGAGCGTCCTCCGCCGGCCCCGGGAGCCCGGCCGGGCAGGGGAGAGGCCGGGCGGCCACCGCCCCCCCAGGCCCCGCGGGCGGGGCGCAGCGGCGGAGCCGGGCGCGCGGGCGGAGGACGCGGCGGGAGCCCCGAAGCACCTGCACCGAGACCGCGGGGCGCATGCGCGGGCCGGGAGGGCGGGGGCCGAGCCGGGAGGGGTCCTGCGCCCCGCACCCCGCACCCCGCGGCGGGCGGCGGGCGGCGGGCCGCGGGGGGGGCTGCGCCGCGCCGGGGCGCGCGGGGCGGCGGGCGGCGCCGGCCTCGACCTCGCGCGCAGCGGGTTCCCACGGCCGCGGCCCGGGTGGGGGCGCGGGCGCCCGGGGCGCCCCTCCCCGGGGCCCGGCTCGGCGCCCAGACAGGGGGGCGGGGTCGCGAGGCCGGGCGGCGGCGCCCCAAGGCCGCCCCGGAGGGGGACCCGCGCGCGCGGGCGGGCGGGCGGCGGCGGCCGCGTCGGGGGCTCCCGCGGGCGCGGCGGCGGCCTCGGCGGGGGGGCGGGGGCCGCCCCGCGCGGCGCCGCCTCCGGGCGGGGCGCCCCGGCCGCGCGCCCCCCGCCGCCGGCGGGGCCCCCGGGCCGCCCCGTCGCACCGGCCGGCCGCGGCGCAGCGCGGAGCGCGCCGCCCCCAGATCACATGGCGACCCGCGCAGCCAATGCAGTGGACGCTAGGACCCTGCGCCCGGCCGCGCCGCCGCGTTATAAGCGCTTCTCCAAGATGCGGCGCAGCTGCCCGCGCGCGCCCCGGCCGCCCGCGCTCGCCCCGCGCCCCTGAGCCGCCGCCCCGCGGGCCCGAGGGCGCCGCGCCCCTGCCCTGCGCCGGCCGCGCCCCCCCGGCCGCGTCCCCGCGCCGCCCGGCCGGGTGCATGCAGTGTGGGCCCCCCGACATGGTCTGCGAGACGAAGATCGTGGCCGCCGAGGACCATGAGGCGCGGCCGGGGGCCCCGAAGGACGCGCGGCGCGCCGCCGCCGGAGCCCGGTGGCCCCCGCGGCCCGCCGCGCCCCCGCCCGCGCCCGCGCCCGCGCCCGCGCCCGGCCCCCAGCCCCGGGGCGGCGCGGGGGGCGCGGGGCCGCCGGGGGGGCGCGGGGTGCACATCCGCGAGTTCCGCGCGGCCGAGCAGGAGGCGGCGCGCCGCATCTTCTACGACGGCATCATGGAGCGCATCCCCAACACGGCCTTCCGCGGCCTGCGGCAGCACCCGCGCGCGCAGCTGCTCTACGCCCTGCTGGCCGGTCAGTGCGCGCCCGCGCCCCCGGGCCCCCGCGCGCCCGGACCCCCCCGCGCCCGGTCCCCCGCGCCCGGCCCCCCCGCGCCCGGCCCCCCCCGCGCCCCCGGACCCCCCGCGCCCGGCCCCCCGCGCGCCCGGTCCCCCGCGCCCCCGGACCCCCGCGCGCCCGGACCCCCCGCGCCCCCGGACCCCCGCGCGCCCGGACTCCCCCGCGCCCCCGGCCCCCCGCGCGCCCGGACCGCCCCGCGCCCCCGGCTCCCCGCGCGCCCGGACCCCCCCCCACCGCTCCCGGACCCCCGCGCGCCCCGCGGCGTTGGCGGGGCCGGCCCGGGCGTGGGAACCGGCGCCGCCGCGGGCGGCCCGGGTGGGGGCGGGGCGCGGGCGCCTGTCATCCCCGCGGGGCCGCCCTTGTGCGGGGCCGGGGCGCGCCGGGGGGCCGGGGGGCGCGCAGCCTTTGCGCAGAGGCCCGGCGCGGCCGCACGAGCTGCGGGAGGCGCGGCGCCACGCCAAGGTCACGCGGCCGGGCCCGACGGGGCAGCGCCCGCTCCGCGGCCGGGGCGCGGGGGAGGACAGCCCGGCCGGGGCCCCAGGGGCAGGGGCGGGGCGGGGGCGGCCGCGGGCCCGGCTCAGGCGCGCCTCTGCCCGCAGTGCTCTGCTTCGCGCTGACCCGCTCGCTGCTGCTCACCAGCCTGGTGCCGGCCGCGCTGCTGGGCCTGCGCTACTACTACAGCCGCAAGGTGGTCCTCGCCTACCTGGACTGCGCGCTGCACACGGACATGGCGGACATCGAGCGCTACTACATGAAGCCCCCGGGTGAGCTCTCGCCGCCCTCCGGGCCTGGTGCCGAGGGGCTCCGGCCAGCGCGCGCGGTGCCGCGGCCCGGCAGGCTGCGGGGACAGACCCAGCCCTGCCGCGCGGCTCCCAGCGTCCCCGGCCCGCGCCCTGCCCTCCGACGGCCGGTGCTGACGGCCGGCGCCCGGGGCTGCTGGAGGTCTCACCCTCCCGCCCGCCTGTGGCTGCGGGGCTGGCCGGGAGTGCCAGGGCCCTGGGCGGAGGGGAGCCTGGGGCGGGGGCAGGGGACTCTGCGGGGGACCGGGCGGAGGGTAGAGGTCGCGGAGGGGCAGAGAGAACCCTGGGAGCGCAGGATCCCCCACGTCAGGAGGGAGGATCCGGCCACCCACACCGGCCTCCTGCCCAGGGCAGGTTGGACCTGGTCCCAGGGCAGGCTGAGTCCTGGGGCACGGCCACTTGGGTCTCTCCAGCCTTTGTGGGGGGCGAGGCCTTCTGGGTGCGGGGGTGTCCCCAGCTGGGAGAGCTGGGACGGTTGGTTCGGGTCAGGTGGGGGCCCCGTGTGTGCCAGGGGAGGGCAGCTGGGACAAGCGGGGCGAGGTGCCCCGTGTGAGGGGGCCCCGGCACTGCCAGCCGCTGTGCCGTCAGTGTTGGTCGCCCCGCGAGCCCAGGCCCTCCGCACCCCGGGGCAGACCTGGCACCTCACAGCCCCGAGTCCACGCTGCCTGGCTCCGTCTGGTCCAAAGAGACCCACACGGCACCAGCAGCACGGGTGGGGGGGCAGGGCTCGGGCGGGGCTGCTCCTCTGTGGGGACCCCCCACCCCGGCCTGCGGCCCCCTCCTCCCTCCTCGCCTCCTGGGGCCTCTCTCGGCCCTCCTGCCCCGCTCGGGCTGTGATTGGGCCAGGCGGTGGGTGGCTTTGGCCTGGCCCCCGGGCTGTCTGCCCAGGAGAGGCTCAGGTCAGTGGGGGTCACAGCAGTACCACGGCCGTCCTCGGTCTCCCACTGGATTTCTGAAGCGTCCTCTGTGCCAGGGGCTGCCTCTAGTGTCCTGACATGGGGCCCACGGGGCTCCCAGGGGCGTGGGTGCCCCAGAGGTGGCCCCACTGTCCCCGCCTGCCTCAGCCCCGCTCCAGGGGTCCTTTTGGGTCTCCCTCCTGGCTGCTCTCCAATCCTGGGGTGTCGAGTTTGGTGGGACCCAGGTATCTGGGTCGGCAGGTCGGCTGGCTGGGCATTTGGCCTGGGGGAGCTGGCGGGGCCCTCGGCTGAGGCCCGGCCAGCCCTGGGTCCCCGGGGAGGGCTGCAGCCTGGAGCCTCCCCGGCTGCTGTCAGACCCAGGGGCCGGCCACGAGTGGGCAGCAGGGTGGCTGTCCGTGCCCTGACGCCTTGTCTTCCGCAGGCTCCTGCTTCTGGGTGGCCGTGCTGGACGGCAACGTGGTGGGCATCGTGGCGGCGCGGGCCCACGAGGCGGACAACACAGTGGAGCTGCTGCGCATGTCAGTGGACGCCCGCTTCCGTGGCAAGGGCATCGCCAAGGCGCTGGGCCGCAAGGTGCTGGAGTTCGCGCTGCTGCACAACTACTCCGCCGTGGTGCTGGGCACGACGGCCGTCAAGGTGGCTGCCCACAAGCTCTACGAGTCGCTGGGCTTCAGACACATGGGCTCGAGTGACCACTATGTGCTGCCCGGCATGACCCTCTCGCTGGCCGAGCGCCTCTTCTTCCAGGTCCGCTACCACCGCTACCGCCTGCAGCTTCGCGAGGAGTGACCGGCCCTGCCCGCCCGCCCGCCCGCGGCCACCCCCTCAGCGCTGCGCTGGGCCTCCCCTCCCAACACCACGCGATCGGGCCTCCAGCTGGTTCCCGGGAAGTGGGGCTGTCGCTCCAGTGCTTGCAGCCCCCGCCCCTTGTCCTGCCCGGCCTGCCAGGGCTGTCCCTGGAGAGACCCAGCCCCGAAGGCCTGGCTGCCGGCGCTGGCTCGAGGGGTGCCCCCGGCCCATGGCCCCGGGGAAGGTTCCCCAAGCACAGCGCCTCTGCCGCGAGCCCGTCCGGCAGACCCCTGGTCGCCAGCCAGGCTGTGGCCGGGCCATGGTGCCGGCTAGGCTGGCTGCGGGCCTGCTTCGCTCTGCATGCGAGGGGGTGCGGGCTGCAGCATGCCGCATGCCCACAGCCCCCGCCCGCCGCCCTGCCAGCCTGGACCCAGGCGGTGTGAATCCCGGCCCGCGCCCCGCCGCCGCGGGGCCACCCGCCCGCCCCGGCTTCTCCTTGTCGGCTTCGCTTCGCCTGTCTCCCCCTCGGCCCCTGCCCCGGCTTGGCCGACGGGCGTCAGCGCCCAGGTGGGGTCCCGGAGCAGCCTGGTGCACGGCTGTGCCGGGCCTTTCAGGACAGCTGGGGGGCAGGGCCGGGGTCCCCTCCCAGGCACCAGCTCCACCCTGATGGCCCCTCCCAGACCCTAGGCCCTTCCTGTCCCGCGCCGGCGGGCCCTGCCCCGAGAGAATCTTCACCAACCCAGGCGGCTGCCAGCGCCACTGAGCCCACAGCTTCTCCTAGCCTGAAACCGCCCCAGTTTTCGCTCCGTTACTTAGACAGAATAGCACCCTGCATGACTTAACTCTTGGGACACACGGGAGTCTACGCCTCACCCGCCCGGGGCTCGGCACGCGCGCTGCTGCGGCCCGCCTGGCGGGTGGGTGGCCGGGTGGGCGGAGGGCCGCGGGGCTTGGCATCTGGAGGGAGACCCTGGTGCTCTCCCCCGGGAGAGCGTTCCTGGCTTGGAGGCGGCTCTGGGCCACCCCTGTCCAGGGCTTTGGGGGCCGAGGGGAGGCGCAGCACGTTCCCCGGAGCCCTGCTGGGGGAGCCGGCGCGGCCCTGACAGGCGTGTCCCGTCCGCTAGCCTGCGGGCTGGCGACTGGGGTCTGGCCTCCTCCCTCGGTCAGGGCGGGAGCTCCGGCGAGGGGCGGCCCGGGGGAAGGCGGTTGGCAGCGCCTGCATGTCTGGCTGCCAGCCGGGCCTGGCCGCGGCGGTGGCCGAGGGCACGATGGCCCCGACCTGCCATGGGGGGTGCGGCGGGGGGCGCGGCCGGCACAGCGGGCCCCGAGCTGGGTCCCAGGTGGCGGGGCCTCCGTGAGGGGCACTCGGAGAGCAGGCGAGAGGCCCCGGACCGTCTCCGAGACACCGGCCAGCCCTGTACAGCCCCTTCCCCTGTACATTCCTCCCTGGTGGGCCCGGCCCCGCTCGGGGACGGGAGTTTTGTAGACTGTACAGAAATCGGCACCCTATTTTCTTGCAGTTCTCAGATTTTGTTAATCTGGATTATACAGACAGACGTAAAGTGTTTTAGCAAAACGGAAACAGTCGTGCCTTCTTCCTCTCTGCTCGGTTGTGCTCTGGCTCGGGGCGGCCGTAGTCGGCGTGGGGCGTGCTGGGGGCTGTGTGGGTCAGCATGATGGGCCGGGCCCTGCCTGGTGTAGTTGGGGATCCCGCCAGCGTCCCCCGAGCCGGTGCCCGTGGAGGCTACGTGGCCACTGGACTCACTGGGGCCGGGACGGCCTGGAGGATCCTGGGGCAGCCAGCGGCAGCTGCTGGCAGGGGCGTGGCCCGCTCCTGTCCTGCTGGCGTCTGGAGGAGCGCTGGGCTCGCCTCATCTTCGGGGTGGTCCCGGGGGTAGAGGCTGGCCTGACCCCGACATTCCCGTGCTGCCCCTCTGCTGCTGCCAGGATGCAGGGGAGACGGCGGGGGGCCCAGGCCTGGAGCGACTGCCGGCTGCTGGGGTGGGCAGGGGTACCTGTGTGCCCAGAGGCTGGCATGTGCTGGGCCAGGACAGGCCTCACCTGCAGGTGGGCTGGGCCAGCGCCTCAGGGCCTCCCACCTGGCGGAGGCCGGGCCTGCCAGGGGCGCACCCGCCACCTCCACCCACAAACATGCCGTGACGTGTGGATTTTACACGTTTGCGGAGATTCCGATGTCTCTTGTACCTCTGGCTTGTCCTCGGGGTCTGCGCAGCGGCGCATGCGTGTGGCGCGTCTGGGTTGGCTGGCCCTGGCCCCTGCCTGCCTCCGGAGCTGCCGATGGCCGCCAGGTGAGGCCAGGACAGCAGCGTGGCTGGCACCTGCCTCAAGGGCTGAGGCTCCTAGGACTGCCGTTGGCGGTGGGAGAGCCTGGTTTGGGAGCAGAGGGCGAATGTTCCAGAGCACCCGAGAGCCGAGCCGGGGACACGCACCTAAGGGGCAGCGGAGGGCCTGCCCCTCTGGACAGCCAGAGCTGCCGAGCCTGGCTCTTTTCCAGGTTCCGCGGCCGGCCTGGCCAGGGAGGGCGGTCCGTGAGCCAGGCCAGCTGTGCGGGCTGCGGGGCCTTTCGACTCCCCCAGGCCCAGCCTGTCTTCGCGGGCTGGGAGCCCGAGCCTGTGAGGTCCTGGGCAGCCCCCTCCGGCTCTGGACACCCCTCAAGCCCTCAGAGGACAGGGCGGGCAGAGCCTGGGTCTGACCCAGGTCTTATTATACAGCCAGGTCTTGGGCGGCGCGGCCCCTCTACGGAGGGGACAGGCACGTGTGGCCTGAGCCTGGGCCCCGCTAAGGCACTCGGGTCGCAGCTTGGTGTGTGCTGCCCACGGCCCGTGCCCACGCGGGGGCGCCTGGGAACCCCAGGGGTGCCTGCTCCCTGCTTGCAGGCCCTTGGGCTGACGCTCCTGGGGGCTGAGTCCTGGGTGGAGGTGGGCGGACTGGGGTGTGTTGCTTGGAGGTGGGGTGCGGTGCGCTGCGTTGCTCGTAACAGCAATAATTAGCCACTTCGCAGAAGGGGCGTGGCCTGGGCTGGGCCCGGTGCCATGCGGGCTGGTATGAGGCTCGCGGGTGGTGGCAGGGAGGGCACCGGTAGTAGCCAGCAGGGCAGCGGGCCACAGTGGCGCCCCTTCCCCTCAGGGGCCGGTGCTCGGGCGCTGGGCAGGGGGCGGGCACTTCTGGCTGACCCCGGTGCTGACCATGGTGCGGGCCAGGCCCCCTGCCCCTGCTGTGTGGAGGCGTGTTCAGTGAGCAGGGCCTGCTTCACCCGTGGTCTGTGCCAGCCTCCGCTCTGTGCTCCCTCGAGGGACCAAGGGTGAAAGCCAAGGTCCCGCTGGTGGGCCTGGCCGGGTGCAGGCCAGCAGGGTGGAGTGGGGCCTCCCTGCACACCCCAGTGCTGCTGTTTTCCAATAAAAGAGTTGATGGACCAGGCTCCTGTGCTTCCTCGAGACCGCCCACCTGCTGGGCTGGGCTCCGGGCCCGCCCGGCACCCCTGGAGCCCTGCACTCAGAAGGGCTGTGAGCTGTGGGGACCTGGGGGGTGGCGTCAGGGCCCCCAACTCAGGAAGGAGGACGACGACTGGGGCCTGAGGTTGGGTACCCCGCGAGGGTGGGTGAGTTTGGAGGTCATCTGAGCCTTGGGGGCAGGGAAGTGGGAGCCAGTCCAGCATGTGGCCCCACAGGGCCTCCCTCTGCCCCCCTCTTTGTGGGTGGGCTCTTCCCCATGGGGTGTGCCCCCAGGGTGGAGCTGGCACTGTGTCAGGGGGTCTCCAAGCCCCAGGGGATGCATGGCAACGCAGGGGTGAAGTTGGGGGGTCAGTGTGCTTGCGTGGATCCCCAAGGCTGGGTGTGTGGCACGAGTGAGCATGGCCACCACACAGGGCAGGAGGACCAGCTGGCATGGAGGACCCAGAGCCCTCAGGGCCAGTTCGCTAGACTCTGGAATGTTCGTCACGAGACTCAGGCTTGGCCGCTCAGCTCTTGCACGTGCCAATGTGATTGGAGCCATGGACCCTGGGGGCATGTGACCCCAGCCCCAGCTCCACTGAGCACTGTGGTCCCGGATACACCGGCCCCAGCACAGGATGACCCTGTCTGCAAGCTCACCCCATCCGGCCAGCCAGCCACAGGCTCTGGGCCTCCTTAGAGGGGCTTCTGGATCCCAGACACACACAAGGAGGCAGCTAGGGGGCCCTCGGGGCGGCCAGGGGAGGTGGAGATGGGCCCCAGGCTCAGTGCAAAGCTAAGGCTGCCACTGCCACCCTGTGCACTGGGGAAGTGACACAGCCTTTCCAGGCCTCAGTCTCCCCACGGTGTGCCGGCCATCTGGACGGTCGGGAGTCTGGGGCGCCTGCAGGAGACTGTGAGATGGGCCTGGAGTCTGGCTCCGGAGCGGAGTGTGGCAGCCTGCCCCCTCAGGTGAACACCGCCCCCCATGGGAGGAGCCTGTGCGAGGTGCCTGCCCAGGGCCGCACCCTGCCGGGTTGTGAGGGCCTCTCAGGTGCAGGGACCCCCGGGGCTCGGAGGGCAGGGGTGCTGCTTCTGGTCTGGGCCACCCATGGGGGTGGGCTCTGGCAGGGGCTGGGGCCAGGACGGTTTTATTGCGGAAAGAACTCAGGGACAGGCGCGAGGCAGCTTCGCTAGGTCTTTACTCCAGGGGCGCAGCACGCTCGGCTCCAGCTGGGGGGCGGGCCAGCACCCACGCTGACCTTGGGGAAGGTCACACAATGGTTGGTGGAAAACAGTTCTCTCCGCCCCGTTGCCTGGGGCTACAGACAAAATGAAGGTGAAAAATGCAGAGGCTGGGGGTGGGTACTGGGGGAGGGCACAGGGTACTGGCCAGGCGGTTGCCTGGAGACTCAGGGCCGTGGGCTGGGCCCAGGGTCACGGGCCTCCTGCAGTGGCTCCAGGTGTCCCCATGAGGGGCCGGCACTCAGAATCACTTTCAGGGGCACCTGCGGGTGGCAGCCAGGAGTGAGGGCGGGTATGGGCCCGTCTTCCCTGCCGCCACCTGCCTGCAGGCGAGGACCTGTGTGAATGGCGGCCTGGTCCTGTGGGTCTGGCCACACAGCGTGGGCGTGCACAAGCTCAGCCCGCACGTGTCCACTCCACCATGACCCCGTGACTTGGCCAAGCCCCCACCAAACCCATGGGGGTCTCTGTGCAGGGAGCGGGCCTGCAGGGCGCCCTGGGGTGCGCAGTGGGGAGCCTGTGCTGGCCACCTTGGGGCCTGCTCCCTGGGTGTCACCGGGACCTGGAGAACCGCCCCGGACCGAGTGGGCCCTGTTGGCCTGGACTCAGCTCAGCAGCGCCTCTGGACAGGGAGGGAGGGGCTGACCTCTGCCTGGCTCTGAGCGCGGCCGGCTCCCAGGGCCTCTAGACTGTGGGGCCCGCTATACCTTCCCCAGGGGCGGGTACAGTCTCCCCAAAACAGGAGCCCTGCCCTGTCTCCGCCAGGCCACCGCTGCAGTGCCAGGGGAGGTGCTTGGGGTAGATGGAGGTGAGGTGTCTGGGGATGTGAGTACAGGGGCCGCAGGGCCCAAGCTTGTGTTCCTGGGGAATGGGAGGGAGGGGCAGCGGCCTTCCCACGGCCTTGGGGTCTAGGCCCAGAGCCCACGCTGAGACGGGGCCTCCAAGAGCAGGGGCTGGGCCTGGCCTGGCGCACCTGGCAGGTGTGAAGAGTCTGCCTCCAGCCTCCGGGGACACCGGCCCAGTGCCCTCAGCACCTCAGCTGCTTCGGACACTATTTCCCACCAGCCCCTGGGCTGGCTCAACCCCAGGCCGCTGGGCCCCCGGCTGGGTGGGCGGGTAAGGAAGGGGCTCACCTGCAGCTGCTGCTCCAGGCCTGGCGCGTGCCGCAGGGCCTCCATGGTGGCCCCCACGAGCGCTGGGGAGGAAGTGCGGTCCTGAGGACGGTGGCCCGGCCCCAGCTCTGCACCCGCCCCATTGTGGGCCCTGGGGGTGAGGAGGGCTGCACCCCACTCCCCGGCTTAGGGCAGGCAGCTGTCTGCACTCCAAGCAGTGCCACCACCTGCCCTCAGGGCCCGAGCAGTGGCCCTGCACTCCGGCCCACATAGGGGCCATGGCAATGCCGAGTCTCCCCACAGGGAGCAGAGAGCATGTTCCCGCAGGGGCCAGAGCCCTCGCATCCCTGAGCGCCGTGCCACCGCAGGAGCCCTGGAGGCCCCAGTGGGGCGCACACCCCATGTGCAGGGAAGCTGGTGCCCGGGACCGCCCCGCTCCCGCCCAGGCCTGCCCACAGACCCGCAGGATGCTCGCTCCCCAAGACCTCAAGGCAGGGACACCCCTCAGGGCTCAAGGCTCCCCTCAGCCCCCCATGGCCCTGGAGGCAGCGCCATGGGTCCCTCTCCAGGTCTGGGTCCACCTGGAACGGCAGGGAGGGGCAGCCCATGGAGTCTCCCCAGCCCCAGGTGGCTCTTCTACCTGCCAGCCCGTGGCACAGCCTGGGGCAGGGCAGACCGGAGACCCTGGAGTCATCTGCAGCTGGGTGGGGCCGGGGTGCTGGCTCACCTGCTAGCTCGGGGACCTGTGCCTCTCCCACTTCAAAGAGCAGCTCGTCGTGGATCTGGGCGAGCAGCCTGCAAGACACAGGCAGGGCTCACCGCGGAGGCCGGGCCCTTGGCACCTGGGGTCTGTGGAGCGAAGGCGCCAGCTGGGGGCACTGGCGTGGGCGCCTGGGCAGGCTGGCCAGCCTCAGGGCTCAGGACCACCGGGAACAGGCAGAGTCAGCCTGGGCGCCACCCCCTGACTGGGCCGCCCCCCAGGGTGGGGCGGGCAGTGGCCCGTCCTCGCGGTCAGGCCTGGCTGCGGTCAGGGCACCCGCGTGCTCAGGCCTCTGGTGGGGTCTCGCGCTCCCCTGGGACTTCGTTTTTAAAAGGGCAGAAACCTCAGAACAGGCACTTGTGGCTTTTTCCTGATTTAGCCGAGTTTTCACACTCGCAGACGTGACTGCGGAAGTGGGGCCGCGGGCGCGCAGCAGCCTAAGAATAGGCCTGAGCGTTAGTCACTTACTCGCCGCTCTCGCAGCCAGCGGCACGGCCCTTCCCGCAGCAAACTGGGGCACAGCAAACCGGCGCGAAGGGGACGACGGTGCTGTGGCCTGGGGGGGGTGCTCTGCCCAGCACCGTCCTGCGGGCGAGGCCCCGTGGGGACTCTCCAGGAGAGACCGGCCTGTCCCGTGGGCGGTCCCAGGGCTGGTACTCAGGGCTCTTCTGACAGGTCTTGGGGGACAGCCCCCCCACCCGGCAGGCCTCGCGCTTGTCAGGTCAGGGCCTGCCGCTGCCCGTGGCCTCCTAGCTGCCCACACAGAGCAGGGCTTTGCCCAGCCGGGCCCTGTGGGACTCTGGCCCTACGTGGTTCCAGTCCTGCCTGAGAGCCGGCCCAGGGGTGCTGCAGACCCCCCTCCTGCTGCCCTCTTGTCTTGGGAGGGCTGGTCCTGCCACCCCAGTCCTCATAGCTATTCCCACCTCCCGCCCCCGCGCAGGCCCGCCCCACCCTGTCCAGTGTCTGGCTGAGGGGAGTGCCCCCCCGGGGCACTGTGAGCTGCTCTGAGAGCTCAGGGCTGGCTGGGGAGATGGGTGCCGCCCTCCACAGGCCCCACACAGCCTGCTTGCCGGGCCCCCCAGCGCGGCAGGAGGACACGTAGCCAGGGTGGGCCTGCGGGCAGCTGCCTGAGCACAGGTCCGAGGTGAGCTCTGTGGGGGGAGGGCCCCTGCCAGCCTCGCCTTCTCCGCTTCCTCCGTGCCCGCACCTGAGAAGCCTGCAGCAGCCTCCTCACAGAGAAAGGGGCAGGTCCCGCAGGCTGGGGGCAGTGGTGGAAGGGCCTGGGGGTTTAGGGGCGACCGGTGAGGCTCTGGGGGGCCCGCTTGTCCCTTGCGCTGCTCTAGGCAGACACACGCTCACATCGGCCGGCGCCACTGCGGAACCCGGAGCAGCTCTGTGCTGGACGCCTCAGCGAGGGGCCAGGCTGCCCGGTGTACGCAGCCAGGCCCGGGCTGACGACCGGGCACTGGCCATCGGAAGAGGGACCCCAGCAGAGCCCAGGCCCCTCCCGCCGTCTCCAGCACATCTGCAGGGCGCGGCTGGCCTCCCGCTCCCAGGCACAGCTGTTAGCGCCTCCTGCCCGGCCTTGGGCCCTCGCCCGTGTGAGGACAGCTGCCAGGGCAGCTGGGCTCCTGATTTCATGTGGGAGCGCACTGGGGAGGGGAGGGGGTGGCTAGGGGCTGTCCAGCCCGCAGGGGCCTGAGGGATCCTGGCCGCCCAGGTGGCGCTGCTGCCCCCGGGCCTTAGGGGGGCTGTGGGCCGGGCTGCCCGCAGGGCGTACCTCCCGTCCCCAGCCAGGACCTTTGCCTGGCCCAACGCTTCTGTACAGGCCGCTGAACTCGCCACAACCTGGGTAGCTCAAATGTGAACGTGAACAGGAAGCAACGCTTGAGGAGCAAGGCGGCCTTGCGAGGAAGACGAAAGGAAGGCAGGCTCTGTAAACTCTCGGGGAAGGCTCATCACCCGAGGCGCGGGTCGGAAGCCGGAAGCCGAGAGAAAGAGAGAAAGCGGCAGGCTCCGGGGAGAGGGCGGCAGGGGAGCGGCGAGGGACACGCAGCCACGCACCTTTCCTCCCCGGGACCTGCCACAGACGAAGGTCCTGGTGGGACTCGCTCCCTGCCCGGGCTCGCAGAGGCCCTTCCCAGCCCTGCCCCGCAGCTGGCCTGAGGGCCCCCCTGGGGCGAGGTGGGAGGAGCCAGCCCGCCAGGGCAGGGCCGGCCAAGGGGAGCAGGGGGTGGGGGGAGGGCTCCTCCTCACCCAGCCTGGGGCGGGCGGGCGGGGTGCTTGCTCCGTCAGGCCTGTGCGGGAGGGGGGCTGGGGGGTGGGGGGGTGGTGAGGAAGCCAGGGCGCCCAGGGTTCCCCTCTGGAGATGCAGGTGAGTGCTGGCTCCCTGAGGGGGCAGTGGCAGGCTGGGTGGGGGTGGGGGCAGCTGTGTTGTGACCCAGCAATCTGGGCTGTGCCTGAAGGGATCCCGGCCACCCAGGTGGCGCTGCTGCCCCCGGGCCTTAGGGGGGCTGTGGGCCGGGCTGCCCGCAGGGCGTATCTCCCCATCCCCAGCCAGGCCTGTGACCCCCAAGGCCCAGCTAGGCCCGCAGAGGCCGGCTGTGACTGCTCTGGCCACCCAGAGACTGGACGCAGGGAAAGGGCCCTGGTGGGGTGCTGGGCGGGGTGCTAGGCGGGGCCGGCGACTGGCCAGGGGGCTCTCGGGGATGGGAGCTGCGGGCACGCGCCCAGCCGCAGAGCCGCTCACAGAGCGTGGGCACCAGACCCTAGGGGGAGGGTCGCAGGCAGCCGGGCCAGGCAAGCGGCACTCTCACTGACCTGGCGGAAAGCGCAGGGGAGGCGGCCACTGCGGCGGAGACGCGGACCATGGCCATCTTACAGAGGTCAGCAGCTGAGCCTGCGGGCACAAGAGGTGGTGTCATGAGTGGCCCAGGCTGCAGCCGGCCCTGGTGGGCACAGCCCTCCTCACATGCGCCTGTGCAGCGAGTGCTGCCTGGGAGCCGGCCGTGCCGGGCTGTCCTGCTGTCCGGGAGCACGTGGGCAGTTCGCCCTGACATGGACCCCACGGGTCCCCTAGTGGCCACCCCCACTCCCCAGGCCGAGCAGGGAGGCAGAGCCAACGGGCAGCCCCGTGTGCTGGGCACTAGACCGCCTGTCTCAGCGTGTTGGAGCCTCCTTGCCTGCCAGTGCCCTGGGGCTGGGCTAGACTGCTATGCCGGGCTTGCTCTCCAGGCCCCAGGGGCCTATGGGGGTGAGGCCTGGCTCGCAGCTACCCTGAGCCCTCGTGGGGGCAGCTCCTGGCCCAGAGCAGGGGCTGTGGCCACAGACCTTGCACCAACCCCACAGAGCCTGTTGTTCTGGGCTGCCTGGCACAGTTTTCCTAGCTGAGGTGGGCAGTGTGGGTGCCCCTGCATTCCAGCTGGCCCCCTGCTGAGGTGTGGACACTGGAAGGATGCCCTGGGTTCGGGGTGCCTGACCCCCAGGTATGTGATAGAAGGTCCCAGCCAAGTCCAGGCCTGACCCTAGCACTGTAGGTTAACTTCCGAAGCCTCAGTGTCCCATTCTGGACGGGTGGCACTGCCGAGCGGGCCTCCTAGGAATGCCACCAATGCAGGTGGCCATGCGCCACACCTGCCCGCCTCCTGACAGTGCTGTGGAAGCCAGGGGCGGGCAGTGTCCAGTAATCCCGGGAATGGGGCTGGCCCTCGGCACATGGCTGCAAACCCCAGTGGCAGTGGCTGTGGAGCGGGCGCAGGGGCACCTTGCACCACGAAGTTCACTGCTTGTCGCTCGGCTTGTGCCCGGAGTCGCGGGTCTGGGGTCCAGATCTGGGGCAGCGGCCTCCGTCTGCCCATGATGGATGCCACGTAGCCTGGTTGTGTGAAAGGGGAGGGAGAGAGGCAGGAAGACACAGCACCGCCCCCACCCCATGGGCCCCCGGGGCCCTGCGGCCTCCTGAGCTACAGTTAAGTCCTCTCTCCGGCTCTGCAGAGAACCAGACCGGCGCAGGCACAGTTCCGGCCTAGGTCTGGAGCCCTGCGGGATGCAGCTGCATCTTGGCCCGCCGCAGCTGGTGGTGGTGGTGGGGGGGCACTTAATCCTCGTCCCTGGAGGGGCTGGTGCCTGCCGGCCCCACAGTGCCCGCCTGGACACAGCAGACCAGGAGCAGCCGGGGCCACCCGGACACTGCGGGGGAGCAGCGCGTCCAGGAGAGGCCGGGCACAGGGGCCCCTTTGTCCCCACCGCCCCAGTGCGGCTCTGCTCCCTGCTCTCATGCTGGTCTCCCTCTGTCCGTCCTCTTCACCCCGCTGCTCCCCCAAGGCCTGGGGCCAGCACAGCTCACGTGTGGCCACACGGTTCTTACTTCTAAAGAACCCTTCAGCTCTGAGTGAGGGTCAGTCTGGCTTCAGTTTTTTTGTCTGTTTTTTAAAGATTTATTTACTTATGCATGCAAGAGCTGGGGTACAGGCCAGAGGTGGAGGGGGGCTGTGAGCGGATTCACCAGAGAGAGAGCGGGGAGCAGAACAGGCAGACTGACTGAAAGACACTGCTGAGGGGAGCAGCGGGGAGGCAGGAGAGGTCTGCTGCGCCCTGTGGGCAGCTCCCTGGCCGGGGACCGAACTCGTGCTGCAGAGGCTGCGGACAGCTTCACAGCGCTGAGACTCAACCCCTGTGCCACCAGGGAGGCCCTGGCCTCAGTTTTTGATATGACATATTTGTTCTGTCATTTAATCCTAAAAATTGTGCGATTTTCTTGGGACTTCTCTTTCTGATCTAACTCACTGGGAGGGCGCGGTTTCCCGGCGGGGACGGGTGGTGACCACACAGCCCGCTCTCGGCCCCCGCGTCTGGTTACAGAGAATGTTCTATTGGATATTCCTTGAGATTTGAGACCAGACTGTGGTGAAATTCTGTAAATATGCCATATGCTTTTCAGCCTCTATTTTAGCTGCGTGATCTTATCTATTTCCATCTTGCTAGTGGTTCCCCAGCCCAAACTTGTAAACGTTGTTGCCTCAGCGCGCCTGGCTCTGCCCTGCCGGGAGCCGGCGCAGGGCTGCAGGGTCTGGCTGCGGAGGGCTCACCTGTCTGGCGACACTGGGCGATGGTTGCTTGGGCAAACTCCTTGATTTTCTTGTATTTCTGCAAGAAACTCTCCAAAAACTGGGCAGCTTCCTGGATAGTAACCCCAAGGCAAGTGGCCAGACGCTCCTTCCCTACAGTAGCAGAAACAGCCAAGATCAGGGGCGCCTGTACCATCCCTTACACCCCCGCCCCTCGCCTGCAGGGACAGCCTTGCGGCCTGCAAGGGGCCAGGCAGGCGCCGCCAGTCAGGTCCAGCCGCCCCGCTGGCCTTTTCTGACAGGACGGATGGGCACCAGTGTGGCCAGTGGACAGGCCTGTTGGACACCTCGGGGGCCACCCTCGGCCTGTGCAGAGCCAGCCCTGGCCCAGCCCTGGGGGAGGGGAGAACACCATCACCAACACGTGAGGAAATGGTGCCCAGGAACATGGACCCTTAAAACTGACAGAAACGCGCTGGGTCCCCAGAGATGGGAATAATCTGAGCAGAGGACAGGGGCTGGGGGAGGGACATGGACAAAGCTGCAGGCTGAGCCCCGGGAAGGCGTGCAGGCACACCCGGATCCCTGGGAGGGAGGCCTGGACAAGGCCTGCTGGCCTCTGCTGGGCTCACGCCAGAGGCGCCCACAGGGCCGTCAGGCTCCAAGCCACAGACAGGTGAGCCCGTTGACTGGCCAGCCCTGGCCCTCCTCACAGGCCCAGCCCTGCAGGGCGCCAGCAGCGGCTCTGCGGGAGAGAGAGGCAGGTGTGCCGGGCGGTGCTGACCAGGGGAAGCCCGAGCACACGCGCCTCCCTGCAGGGGCCCACCCTGCGTCTCCGCCAGGCCCATCAACATGGCTGTGGCTGGAACCCTTTCCTCCCGTCTCTGGGTGGCCAGAGGAGGGGCTGGCTGAGGTCCCCGAGGGGGAGGGAGCAGCAGAGAGCCCATCGGGGTCTCTGTCCTGCCCACGGAGACAGGCCCCCGCGCTCACGCACACCGCCTGGATGCCTTGGTTGCCACACCAGCCCCAGGCCCCGGGCTGCGCAGGGACCGTGTGGCCAGGGCGTGTGGTCTCCACGTGGTCTTGCCCTGCAGCGCTGGCCTCGGTGTGCTGGCGGGGGAGCAGGGCAGACCCGCTGACTCGTGCCCTGGCCCCTCGGCCTGCGTGGGGGCGCCAGGCCAGTCTTGCCCAGCCCCAGGCATGGGGGCCCTGGCGTGCGCACGTGGTGCTGGCGCTGGCCAGGAGGTGACTGCCATGGGCCACGCAGAAGCAGGGACGGTGGAGCAGCACTGCGAGCGGGGCCTGCAGGAGCAGCTGGCCCCTGGGGAAGGCGGCTCCTGATGGGCTTGGGCTCCGCTGGCCAGTGCAGCAAGGTGGGTCAGCCCTCAGGGCCTGGGATCCCAGTCCTGCAGCCCCTGCACTTGCCCCCTGTGCATGGAGTGGGGCCCCCAGAGGGCTGCCATGCCCCCGGCAGGGTGGGGGTGGGGTTCTGGGCTCTCCATATCTCCCACGCTGCAAGGCGCTTCTTGGCCTGTGCCCCGTGTTCACACAGCAGCCTGGCCGGGTGATCATGCGTGAGCGTCATCGGGCAGTCAGGGCCCGCTGGGTGCCTGGCCGGGCCTGTGACGGGTGCAGGCTTCTGTCTGGCAGGTGCCCTCAACCCAGCTGTCAGCAGGCACCTCGGGGCAGGAAGCAAGGTGGGGAGCGGCCCAGTCTCCCTCCTGCCACCCCACGGCCAGGGACGCGGCCTTTCCCCTCCGGAAGGCGCCCCGCATGGCGGGTGGCAGGTGCAGGGCGGCCCGGGGTGCTGCAGGAAGGGTGCAGAGCCAGCCCAGGGACCCAGGCGCCTCAGCCCCACTGTTTCCCAGTGTGGACACCGCGTTTCCAATAGAGCTGAGAGAGGGCGGCTCGTGAATCTGCTGCTGCCGTGGCCGCAAGGCTCGCCAGGCACCCCCGCGAGGGCCCGCCCCAACTCCCGGCTCTGAGGGAGACCAGGGGCACCGGCCTGCCTGGGGGGCGGAGGGTGGAGGCTTGAAAGAGAAGCTGAAGGCGGCCTCGGTGACCCCCTCTGGTCCTCACCCCCTCGTGAGGACCCTCCAGGGAGTGTGGCAGGACCTGGTCCTCCCAGCCCCTAGAACACCGGGCTCTCGCGGGCCTCCTCCCGCCCTCGTCTGCGCTGAAGAACAAGCTGCCACTGGGTTGCAGGCTTAGCCCACCTGGAGACCACCTGGGAAGGGCGGCCTCACAGGAGACCCCAACCTGCCCCAGCACCTCCAGGGAGCCCCAGATGGGGGAAGGGAAGGAAAGGGGAGGAGGAGGGAGGAAGAGGGGCAGGAGGGAGCTGGCCTGGGAGGGGGTGTGTTCTCAGAGAGCCCTGGGCAGCCACCCTGTGATGTGGGGAGACTCCCAGGCCCCCCACCCCACCCCCCTAGACCCGGTCCCCTCCCAGGAGGCTGGGTGGGCACGCCCACTGTGGACCGTCTGGGGCCTGGCGGGGCAGGATGTCCTGCATTTGTGTGAAGGACACAGGGTGCCCGGGGGGGACCGGGCAGCAGTGTCAAGGCAGAGACGACGGTGGGGAGGGCCATGCCCACTGGCCGGGCTACCTGCTCCGTAGACGGCCGCATACACCACCTTCTTGGCCCGCTCTCTGTCCGCCCGAGTCACAAGTGCTGCGGGAATGTCCTTCCTGTGGAAAGGTGAGTCACTGCGGTCACCGCCAGCTGCAGCGCCCCCATGGTCCCTCCCTGGAGGCGGGGCTGGTCCCACCGTGGGGGACAGTCGTGCCCAGAGTGGCCTGGGGGGCTTCCGCATGGCTTCCAGCCATAGCCCTGGGTGCTCCCCAGCACAGCGACCCCAGTGGGAAGACGGGCATGATGGTCAGCTCGCATCTGACCTGCCCTGGCCACCTCCCACCCCCCGGGCCTGGGGCAGTGATCCCTCCTCTGCTGCTGGGCGTCCTGGCAAGGCCGCAGCCCCCTCCTCACTCACCAGGCATTCCTGGTCAAGGGGGCACCTCAAGCTCGGGAGGGAGGGACAGCAGCACAGAGGAGGAGGACAGGCGCACCCCACCTGTGCTGGCCAGCTCTGTGCCGCCCCGGGGAAGAGTTCCCCCGAATTCCCTAAAGGATCTCCCCCCCACCTGCAGCCCCCACCACAGCGGCTGAGGCCCAGCCACGCGCTGCCCTGCCATCCTGCGCCCTGGAGCGGGGGTTGCTGGCTGGTCCCAGGCACCAGGAGGGGGAGCTGGCCGCGGGCCTCCGCTCCAGGCGCCTGACAAGTGAGCCATGGTGGGTCCTCTGCTGGGAAGCAGCCTTGGGCTGCCTGCGCCACCATTTCATGGGTGACCAGAGGTCGCCAGGCCCCTGACTCCAGGCACCGCCTTTCTCCCCCTCCCGCCCGTCTGGGCACTGCAGTGACCCTGCCATGGGCCTGAGCGCTGCTAGATAAAGAGCAAGCAGCCGAAGGCACCCGGGCACCCAGGGTGCCTGATACTGAGTTGGGTCTTCTGGAATTTAGTGATTTTTTAAAAAAGATTTATTTTTTACTTATACAAGAGCTGGGGTACAGGCCAGAGGCATGGGAGGCTGAGAGGATTCACCAGAGACAGAGCGGAGCACAGAACAGGCAGACTGACTGAAATCCACTGCTGAGGGGAGCAGCGGGCGCGACAGGAGAGGTCTGCCATGCAATGTGGGTATCTCCCTGGCCAGCCGGGAATTGAACCCACGCTGCAGAGGCTGCAAGCAGCTTCACAGTGCTGTGCTCAACCTGCTGCGCCTCTGGGGAGGCCCTAGAATTTAGCGATTTTGCTGATTTTTCAAAACATCATTTTTTGTTTTATTAATTTTCTCTATTGTTTTTCTTTTAATGTCATTGATTCTTCCTCTTGCCTTTACTATTTCCTTCCTTACGCCTGCCTGCTTTGGTGTATTTTCCTTTTCTCTGCAAGTTTCTTACCGAGACAGACTGGCTGGTCCTCACCCTGTTGGCGTGCTGTGCCCCTTGGTAACCTGCAGCCCCTCGGCCGCGCCCCTATGCCTGATACCAGGACGTGTACATTTTGCTGCGACACTGGGCAGCAGCACCAGAGAAGCTGTGGCTGGCTAAGCAGAGGATATGCCTGCCACCAGCAGCCCCTCCTGGGGCGAGTCCTCTGCCCGCTGGGCCTGGGGGCGGGTGCTATCCCCCGCGGCACCAGGGCGCCAGCAGGGCTCAAGAGTGGGCTGAATGTGCACACCTGCCTCCTGTGTGAGAGGGTCATCTGCTAAGACCGTCCACACCTCTGGAGAGCTGCAGAGTGCCATGAAATCCGGCACATGCTTTCTACATCCCATACTGCCGGATCCCCGCCGAGGAGACGCGAGAAAGGAGGAGGGCGCGTGTGGGGAGAACGTGGATGGGGGTGGTGTGAGCAGAAGGCCCAGGCTGCGCTCCGCTCAGGGGTCCAGGAGGGAGCAGCGGTGAGCACGGGGCGGGCCTTGGCCACCAGGAGGAGCCGCTTCAGGCCTGAGGGGGGTAGAGCAGCGAGACAGACACAGACGAGGACGAACCCCAAACGCACGGCGCTGGGCGCGGGGAGTACGGCGTGGAGGTTCTTTTGGAAAGCAGTTAACGTGTGGCTTGGGGAGTTACATACAGTGACCACTGAGCCTACAGCTTCAAATGGCTCATGATTTAAATTCAGGTTATGCCCCTTATCACGCTTTTTAAAAAGTTACCCACAGAACTACGACACAAGCCCCCAGAAATGAGGCCATGTGTCCACGCCAGGGCTCGCGTGTGAACGCCCACGACAGCCAAGGCGGAGGCCACCCAAGGCCCATCCACCAATGAATGAATCAACACGTGGAGTGTTGGCCGCGTGTCTGCACTGAAAGGCAGGCCATGTCCGTCCGCGCCGCGGAGTATTGTTCTGCCACGGAGAGGATGGGAGCAGCGGCGCCTGCCACACCGCAGAGCCATGTGGGCGCCCTAAGCCGTGGGGAGGAGGCAGTCACGGAGGCCCCCTGCCGAGAGGCAAGTCGGGACACGTCCAGAGCCCACTGACACAGAGGTGCAGAACGTGGACGGCGCTTCCCGTGGGGAGGGGAGGAGGGCGGAGGCCGTGAGCACGTGGCTTCTCTCTGGGTTGACAGGACCATTCTGGAGTGAGACAGCGGTGACGGCCGCGCCCGGCGGAGAAGGCGCTGAGCTCTGCACTTTAAATACTCGACTTCCGGGGCCTCCCTGGTGGTGCAAGGGGTGAAGATGCAGCCTACGAAGCTGTCCGCAGCCTCTGCAGCGCGAGTTCCATCCCCAGCCAGGGAGCTGCCCACAGGGCGCGGCAGACCTCTCCTGTCTCCCCGCCGCTCCCCTCAGCAGTGCATTTCAGTGGATCCCCTGTTCTGTTCCCCACTCTGTCTCTGGGGAATCCTCTCACCCCCATCTCTGGCCTGCATCCCAGCTCTTGTATGCATAAATAAGTAAAATCTTTGGGGGAAAAAAAAGGCTCAATTTCCATGGTGTGAGTTACGTCTCAACTTTAAAAAGCGTAGGTGGCACACAGAGTAGGGGGCGCTGGTCAGGAGGCAGCACCCTGGCCTGGAGGTGTCGTGGCAGCATCGCAAGACCCACATACACCCCGCAGAGGCTCTGAGCTGGGGTGGGGCAGGGTCTGAACTGCTCTTGGACCTCAGGGTCAGCTGTACCCCAAAACCAGACAGTCACCATGTTAGATGGGAGGAGTCCCAAGCCTCAAACTTAAAGAAGAAAAGTACATGCAGGTAAAGGAGCATTCGAGAAAGCAAGAAAGGGCCAGCAGCGAGGCAGAGCAGGGAGGAAAGTGGGTTTGTTGTGAGCCCAAACAGTGGGTGAGGAAGTCCCCAGGTGAAGGTGGGACTTTGCAGCAACGATGAGGGCCACGAAGGCAGACCAGGTGTCAACGGGAACTCAGCAGCCCAGAAGAACGGGGCCCGGGGAGACCCTGAAGGGCCAGGCCCCTGTGCTGCCTGCCTGTGCTGCCCGCCCCGCACCACCCAGCAGAGCCCAGGCTGGCTCCACGGCAGCCTCTCCGGGGACAGCAGCCGCAGTCCGGTCTGCTGGTGGCGGGGGCCCCTCTGAGGCAGGAGCCTTTGGGCTGGAAGGAGGACGCAGGAGGACGCACTGGGCGGAGGGGCTGGAGCGCACAGGCTGCTGTCAGTCCAATGAGGTGAGTCAGGTCCAAGGGGCTCAAACTCCCTTGGACCTGAGTTTGCAGAGCCTCACTAACCACCACTCCATGGCTTTGGGGTTGTGGGGGGGGGTAGGAGCAGGGTGGGGAGGTAGGAGCAGGGGTGGGGGGCGGGAGGGTAGGAGCAGGGGTCGGGGAGGCGACTCAGGGCTGGAAACGCGGTGGGAGCGGGGGGGGGGGGGGGGGGGAGGGCAGCAGCCAGTCGCAGGGCACCGCAGGGCACACTGAGGGCTGAGGCCCAGGGCTTCCTTCAACAATGCTTCCTGCCGGGACTGCTGGCCTTGGCTTGGGGACGCCGCAGACACAGAAGACATGCCTGGGCCAGGCGGAGCTCACACTGGAGGGAGGAGCGGCTGGTGGAAGGCGGGGCGGAGAGGAAGGTGGGCCTGGGGGAGGGGGCGGCCTTGGATAACAGCTGATAGGGGCTGGAGGAGCGTGGGGGCGAGGTGCTTGGGTGGGGAGGTGGGGCAGGAAGCGGCCTGGAGTGTGAGGCTGAGAGTGCAGGTCACTGGAGTGCTGGTGGGAGGGCCCGGGGCCAGGGCTGATGGTCCCAGGCTCTGCTCCCCAGTGGGCCGGGGCCCCTCACTCTCCATGGTGCTCTGCAGGGCCCAGCGCCTGTCCCCGGCCAGTGCCCCTTCCCCTGGCTGTCACTCCCCCACCACGCCCCTCGTGACCCGCAGGGAGGGGCAGGGGCTCGGCAGCAGAGTCCTAACATTGTACGCAGGGCCTGGGATTCCGCCCCTTTCTAGAAAGTGGCCTGTCCCAGCGTCCTTGCAGCCAGGCCCACTCTGGGGGCAGGCAGGGGCTTGTCTCCCTGACAGAAGGGAAGGTTGCCTCCCCTCTCACTCTCCCCACCAATCTCTTGTCTCCCTGACAGAGGGAGCCGCAGCCAGGAGGGACGAGCTGGCTGAGAACACCAGCCCAGAAAGAACGCAGGCCCGAGGCCAGGCCCCGCGGCCGCACCTGCCCCAGGGCTCTGCAGTGGGCACGCAGGCCTGTCCCTGCAGGGGCCCCTTGGAAGCCTCCTGCCCGGCACCCTGGGCTCTCACCACCCGGGCACCCAGCCGGAGGGCACGCAGGACCTGCCTGCACACTCTCCTGGTGTTTCCATTACATTCTCTGGCAACAGACTCGGTTTTTTAGTGGTGACGAGCTATCGGCTCTCCCCCAGCCAGGAAGCCCTGGACATCCTATTCATCTGCTCGTTTTTTCCAAGCGGTGACCTACAGGAGAAGATCGTGATTTCTTTCCCACGAAAGGGGCCTTGGAATAACTAGAGGCTTTTAGAGTCCGCGAGCGCGCGTGTAGCTTACCACTGTGAAGCCAGGCTAGAAAAGACATCCTCTCTTCCCGATTCCTGGAATAACTTCAGAAGTTCAGGGTCCTCAGATAAATGTGCAAGAATGCGCAGCTCGATCTGCGAAAAGTCTGAGAGACAGCCCTGCATTAGCTCAGAACCCACCAAGGGCCCTCCTGGTGCCCCCGGGCCCCGTCGCTCCCCCTCCACAGCCAAGTCAGCCTTCTCGCCCCGCTGGCCAGGCCGCAGGTCAGCCCAGTGTCTGAAGCTCAGGAGCCCCCCGCTGTTCCTGTGAGGGCCCCCACATGTTGTGTCCATCAGCGTCTTTAACAAGGGCCTACTGTGCTCAGGCCGTAAGCTGGGTGCTAGTGAACAGAACAAGGACCTTCCTTGTGGAGCTCGCATTCCTGCAGGTGACAGGTGGAGTGGGCCAGTGGCCGGCGAGACGGCACAGACAGATGGGAGACACGGCAGGATGTGGGGGCTCCAGGGGGTGTGCTCGCCTGCTCACGCATGCGTGCATGTGTGCACGCTGTGTATGTGTCCATGCGTGAGTGGTGCAGGTGTGGCACGTGTGTGCATGTGTGTGGGTATGATTGCATGTGCACGCATGTGTGAGTGTGTCATGTGGTGCGTGTATAGGGGGCATCTCACCGAGAAAGCGGCACTGGGCAGGGCACGGAAGGGTGCGGGAGGAACCAGCGCTGTTTGGGGCGGGGCCCTGGGACTTGGGTGAGAAGTGGTGAGGTGAGGGGCTGGAAGCAGAGCTGCCTGTCTCCCCTGCATAAGAAACTTGCTTCAGGGCCTCCCCTGGTGGCACAGCGGTGTTGCGAGGCTGCCCGCAGCCTCTGCAGCGCCGGTTCGATCCCTGGCCACCGGCGAGGGTCCCACCAAAACAAAAACAAAAACAAAAACAACTTGCTTCATACAAATATTTCCTTGGGATCTGAAGAGCAGACCCTGTGGATATCCCCCACCCCACCCCACTCTGCACGTGTGAGCTGCAGGACAGGTGAAGTGGGGCGCGCCCAGCCCCGCCCTCGTCAGCTCCTACCTGCTGCCAGGAAGCTGTGGCCTCTGGGTGGGACGAACATGGCCCTCGGAGAGATGGTGAGGCTCCCGCCGGCCTCGCCTAGACAGTTGTGTTGAGGGCACTTGAACTGGGGTGCGCTGACCCCCATCTTCCTCACACAAAATTACTTTAATGTCATCTAAAGTCAGGGTCCAGTTTTCTGATTTTTCTGAATATTTCTACTAATTTTAGAACATCATGCTAACAACGAAAGCAAACTCAATTTTTTGTTGTTTATTTTTCCTTTCTGTCTAGAATTCTTAGAGAAGGTCGGCTGTTGATGTAAGGGCAACCTAGCGACTCCCCATACCTCGCTCATGAAAGCGCAGCTGTGGGGAACACAGACTCCAAGGGCTCCCCACCAGTTGCCTTTAAAGGGCAGGTGGAGATGGGGGCCCGTTGATGCTCATCCCGCTCATGTCACCATGCATGCTGCTGGGGCTCCTGGGGGGGCCACCACCCCGGCTCAGCGGCTGCGGGGACCGGGGCACCCCCACTTTGCTCAGACTTGACCGCCTTCTTTTTTAGCAAGGCACAGTCAGCTCTATAGCGCGGGGCCTTGCGAGGAAGTGGAGTTGCCTTCCCGGGAGAGGCGGCCCGCATGGTCTGCTCCCCTCTGCCGGGGAGCTGGGCACAGAGGGAGGGGACTCGCTTTCCTGGACCGTCTCCCCTTTAACTAGAAAGTGGCTACCAGGCAGGCCCCACGCCCCTTCAGCTGTGGTTGCCTTGCAATGTGCCTCGAAGGCCTGACCAAGGACACGAGGCAGGCTTCGGGGAAGGAGCAGCTAGTTTTATGGAAAAGCAATTACAAGTACTTGCAAGTTTTTACAAAATGTTACCAAGACATTAGCAAAGTAGAAAGAAAGGTATTACCTTTAAAATTCTGAGGTTTGGCGATCTGAACTGGGTGCTTAGAGATACCTTGCATGTTCTGTTAACAACAACAGGAAACAGCTTTAGACAAACTATCCGCTCTTAAGTTAATCGAGGCTCTGACGGGCATTTAACATGGCCGCATTTTATCCAACTGTAACGAACAAGCGATGTGAGCGTATGACCCACAAGACATGGCCCTGTACCACTGACGCGTGAGCTTGCTGGGCTTGCCCTGGAACGGACTGGCAGGCCCTGGGGTGGCACGCTCGCCCTGAGGTGGACGGGCTCGCATCATAACGCTCTTTCTGATGCTAACCTGCGTACTCCTAGCTGGACACAGCAGCTCGCTGGGCAGCAGTCGGCTCGTGACCTTAGTTAGCCTGAACAACTCCCACGTGGCAAGCTGGCCAGAGATTTCTATGAAGTTTGTAGATGGGGCCTTTTTTCCTTTTTTAAAGATTGATTTATTTATGCATACAAGAGCTGGGGTATAGCCCAGAGGTGTGGGGGGTGAGAGGATTCACCAGAGTGGGGAGCAGAACAGGCTGAATCTACTGAAATACACCGCTGAGGGGAGCAGCAGGGAGACAGGAGATGTCTGTTGCACCCTGTGGAAATCTCCCTGGATGGCCTGGGATCGAACCCGCGCTACAGAGGCTGCGGATTGCTTCACAGTGCAGCGCTCAACCACCTGCGCCACCAGGGAGGCCCAATGGTGCCTTTCTTTAAAGATGTGTTTTGTTTTTTTTTTTTTTTTTTTTTTTTTTTTATAGAGGCATGCTTTTATTTTATTTTATTTTACTTGTTTGTTTGTTTGTTTTATACATGCACTGGGTACAGTCAGAAGCGCGAGAGGGCGAGAGAATTCACCAGAGCCAGAACGGGGAGCAGAGCAGGCAGAAGGACCGAAGGACACTGCTGAGGGGAGCAGCGGGCGGCAGGAGAGGTCTGCGCGCCATGCGGGACCCTCCTCCGGGGGCCGGGGAGCAGCCGGGGATCGAACCGGCGCCGCAGAGGTCACGGGCAGCTTCGCAACCCAGCGCCCAACCGCTGTGCCACCGGGGAGGCCCTAAAGATGTGTTTTAAGGTGAGAATTCCCGGCCTCCTTCCTGACCACGCCTGCTGGAGCTCCGGGCTAGATCCTGCTCTGCCAGCGCTTGCAGCCTGCCCCTCGGCTGCTGGTGAGTGTTTCTGGCCCTCAGAAAGCCCCTGGGAGCACCCGCCAAGCCCCTGTGCACCTTCCCGACGGTGGGAAGGGGCAGCAGGGCCAGTGCACAGACAGGCCCCTGGCTGCTGGCGGCCCTGCTGCTCCCACCTGAGGGTCTGCTACATTGGCCTCGGGCTCTGGGGGGCACCTTGCCCAGGGCGACCCGCTGGTCTGGGGATGGGTCTTCTCAGGCCTTAGCTGGCTGACCACCTGACCTGAGCACAGGCCGCGCTAAGGGCTGAGCGTCGTGACTAAGTGCTGTGGGGCTGCAGCGAGCCCGGGTGGGCAGGGCCGGGACCCGGAGGCCAGACGCTGGCGGCACTCAGGTCTGCATGTGAGGATCACAGGCTACTTAAAGAGACTAACAAACAGTCACGCCACGGGCTCCAAAATAGAACAGAGGTGCCGGAAGGAAGGAGGGCGGGTGGGAGTCTCTGGGCTATGGCCTGGCGGCGAGCAGGACGGGGACTGGCAGCTGCGGCCCGAGGAGCGGCGGGGGGCCCTGAGCCTGCACTGGGCTGAGCGTGGGTCGCGAGCGGCGCCGGCCACTTGCTTCTGGAGCGAGGCTGGTCTGGGGAGACGGAGACCTTTCCCCGCGGGCCTGACATCGTCCAGAGACGTGGGCTGTTCGCCGCGGCCTGAGCGGCGTTACCCCGAAGCCGCGGCCCCTGCCGGCCGGGAGGGACTGTCCGGGCCGAGGCTCCACACACACCCTCCTTGAGGCTGGGCCCAGAAACCCTTTCTCACATAAAATAACTTACCATACTATGACAAAACATTAATTTGACTCCAACTCAGATATAAAAATAAGCTAATAATGGTACAAACACGCGAACAAAATATTGAACATATAGTTAGAAATATAATGAACTCTAAAGACTCTAAAGGGGAAAAGACTCATCCATGAACCAAAGCAAAAACGCATTCTGTGGAAATAATGCCTGGCTTCGACATTTCCAACCCACACGCTTTAAAACTAACATTAGAAAAAGGTATTGCTTGTTACTGAGGTAACACAGGCTCGCAGACAGCTACCGCCAAAGCGCCCGAGGTCTCTCAGCACAGGCCATGGCACCCCCAACCCCCGCACCCCCCGCTTCCCACCCCCATCTTCCCCTTTGGTAGCTGCAATATTTAAAGAAATGTAACATTAAATAAAAAGTCACACAGGAATCTAGAAGAATGAAGACTTGGGATAGTAAAGAGCTCATTACAATACACTGTGAAAAGTCAGATATTTTGAATCACAAAATGCTGGTAAGTGCGGAGCCGGCATCACGAGGGCAGTGCGGTGAGGCGAGGACACTGGCTGACAAAAACTGGCTTTGTTGATGTGGAAACATTAGAAAGGCCACCGAAGCTGGAGCTGATAAGGGGGAACTAGATGATGAAGAAATGGGAAGAATGTGGCTCCTGGCGGGAGCAGGAGCAAAGGCCTCAGCACCTTCCCAAGAGATGGCTTTTTGGAAAACATTTGTTCGAAGAGGCGCACATAAAACAAGGATTGACATGAATCCTGAAGGATCTGAATCGGGGAAAGAAAAGAATTCAGACAAACAAAAGACGTCCCGGCCAACCGATGCCTGGCGAACAGTGTGACACCCCCTCGGGAAGAAGCTTGGTCCTACTGTTAGCACACGGTGGCCTGATGGTCCCCCACCATTGGAACGGACTCCAGAGTGGACGCAAATCCAGCCTTTTGACCAATAAACACTCACTACCCAGCCTGTTCCAGGCTGTCAGGCCTGAAGGCACACTGGCGAGTAGGCAGAAAAGGTCCACGTCCTCATGGGAGTCACAGGTGCAAAAAAACCAGAAGCAGCAGGCACTTGAACTGTGGTATGAGAGGGGTCATCTCATAGGGGAAGCACAGGGATTGTCCAGGAGGGACATGAAATGGAGGCTGTGATAAGGCAAATACTAATGCCCACTCAGCGCTGGGAGAACACGAAGAATGCAGGGGCTTCAAGTGGATTACAGGCTCTCGGCGGATATGCGCAGATGAAAAGGAAGCTGCTCCCACCCCGATAATGAGGCAAGGACAGGTGTCTGAAAACCATCCCTTGTCTTGAGCCCAGCAGAGAGTAAAGTATCCAGCAGAGGACTGGTAAATGCACGATGGCAGAAAACTACCACAGGCCAGAGAAGAGTCACCCAAACGGGCCAGCAACCTGGGCACCATGCCTGCGCGGGGCCACTGAGGGTTCCTGCTCCCCATCGGTCACTCTTGGAGAACTCCTAATTCAGAAGACATCAGGTAGCGCGCTCAGGAAGCTTAGAGCCACCTCTCTGCATCTGCCTGACAAATAATGAAACTTTGGCCAGAAAGGGAAACACTATTTCCAGTCCACTTAACTCATCCCAGAACAAAGCCCAGGAATCTTTACAGAAATAAAAAATGTCCATTATCCCACAATGAGAATCGACAATGTCTAGTATCCAAACAACGATCTCCAGGCATACTAAGAAGCGGGAAAATGGACTCATTACGAGAGTAATCATGTATTGGAACTTCCCTATAATGGACATACATAGGTGTTGAAATTAGCAGAAAAGAGCAGTAAAGCAGTTGTTATAACTGTATCAATATGCTGAAAAAATTAAGAGACACAGATGTCATAAAAAAGATACAAGCCGGTGGCGCAGCGGTTGAGCACTGGGTTGAGAAGCTGCCCGCAGCCTCTGCAGCACCGGTTCGATCCCCGGCTGCTCCCCGGCCACCGGAGGAGGGTCCCGCATGGCGCGCAGACCTCTCCTGCCGCCCGCGGCTCCCCTCAGCAGTGTCCTTCGGTCCTTCTGCCTGCTCTGCTCCCCGCTCTGGCTCTGGTGAATTCTCTCACCCTCCCGTGCTTCTGACTGTACCCAGTGCTTGTATAAATAAATAAAGAAATAAATAAATAAATAAATCTTAAAAAAAAAAAAAAGATACAAGCTGAAATCCCAGAAATGAGAATCATTCAGTTTTAACTATAAAGTTCAAGCTATTAAACTATTAACCTTTTATTTTTTTTATTTTTTTTTTTTTTTAAGATTTATTTATTTATTTATTTATTTATACAAGCACTGGGTACAGTCAGAAGCGCGGGAGGGTGAGAGAATTCACCAGAGCCAGAGAGCGGAGCAGAGCAGGCAGAAGGGCAGAAGTACACTGCTGAGGGGAGCAGCGGGCGGCAGGAGAGGTCTGCGCGCCAGGTGGGACCCTCCTCCGGTGGCCGGGGAGCAGCTGGGGATCAAACCGGCGCTGCAGAGGCCGCGGGCAGCTTCGCAACCCAGCGCTCAACCGCTGCGCCACCGGGGAGGCCCACTATTAACCTTTTAAAAGAGCTATTTATGCATACAAGAACTGGGGTACAGGCCAGAAGTGCAAGGGGTGAGAGGATTCGCCAGAGAGAGAGTCGGGAGCAGAACAGGCAGATGCACTGAAATACACTGTTGAGGGGAGCAGTGGGGAGACAGGAGAGGTCTTCTGTGGCCTGTGGGTAGATCCCTGGTTGGGGATTGAACTCGTGCTGCAGAGGCTGCCAATAGCTTCATAGGGCTGAGACTGAACCCCTTGTACCACCAGGGAGGCCCCTAAACTATTAGCTTCAATAGAAAAATATACTCAATGGGAAAAACCACAGATTTGACATTTGGGTGTAAATGATAAATTTTCATCTTTATAGTTGCATAGTATTCCATTGTGTATTTATACCACATCTTCTTTATCTTATCACCTATTGATTGGCTCTTAGGTTGTTTCCATATCTTATCTATTGTGGATAATGTTGCAATAAATATAAGGGTGCACCTAACTTTTCAAGTTAATTATTTCATATTCTTTGGATAGATACCCAGAACTGTGATTG